TGCATTTTCTTCTTTGGAGACCGTAAGTATTGCAAGAACCTGGAAGAATTTACAAAGGTTCCCTTTTTCTGTCCTGCCTGACTATCTCTGTGGAGCTTTTTATTTGGCCTTACATCAAATGAAGACAGAGGCTCAGAAAGTTAGTAACAGTTAAAAGCGTAGGAAAGATCAATATGGGATTTGGAGAAGTGGGAAGAAACAGCCCTGATGAAACTTTATAGCCCACCAGAGAGCAGTTTTGTACTGAAGAACTGTGAAGGGAAACTCAGCCTAGACTCACCCCACCTAACTGAGGCTCTAAATTCTCAGCACAGCAACCCTTGGGAAACATAAGAATCTCTAGAGGGTAGTACAGCCTATCCCAAGATCTCTTTCCACTGACTGTGAAAGGAAAGTGGCTGTTCTCCTTCTTTAGATGCTTAAAATAAGATGAGGCAAATCTGGGCTCAGCAACAAGTCCAACTTACGTGTAAGAAAATGAGCTCTAAAAACATCTTATAGATTGAAGAATTGCTGAGTCTGGACTTTGAATGTGCAGGGCTATAACATCCTGGCACAGGCTTTCCAGCACTTAGCATTGCTGCTGAGCATGTCAGAAACACCCCAGTAGAAAGAAAAGGTAAAGGATTATGCAATCAAAAGACTTAGCTGATGCTTTTCTACCTGCCCCTGTCAAAGGTGTCAGTCATCACTGCGTGCTTCTGCATTTCACTAACAGCCTGTTTGCTGTGCATTACAAAAGCTGTTCCGGCATGCCAACATACTGCATGGGGTTCTTTCTTTTCCTTCTTTATCTAGCATGACAGCAAGCTGGCTATAAGGAAGTTAGTACCACAGCTATGCAGACAGTTGCAATAATCACTCCTGGGGTCCTTTTCACAGCAAACATCTTTCATGTTCAGGCTGGGCAAACGGAAGAAGTTCTTTACTGTGAGGGTGCTGAGGCACTGGAATGGGTTGCCCAGGAAAGTTGTGAATGCTCCATCCCTGGCAGTGTTCAAGGCCAGGTTGGACAGAGCCTTGGGTGACATGATCTAGTGTGAGGTGTCCCTGCCCATGGCAGGCGGTTGGAACTGGATGATCTTAAGGTCCTTTCCAACCAAAACCACTTTATCATTCTATGATCCCATGACCTCATGTTCATGAACTATCTTCAGCCAGCACCAGCTGATCAGAGTTCCCTATGCTCTCCAGATTATCTCTACCTGTGCTTCCTTCCCAATGTTATTAAACAGCATGAAAGCAGCCTAGGACCTACAAAACCACAATCACACTCTGTAGAGTCTGTAAGTTATGCTCTCAAGCCCACCTCCTATCTATTCCCTGGGGCACACAATGCCTGAGCCAATAGGTTTACATAAACCAGAAAGCTTAACATGTTCACCTTGGTGATAGGTCTTTATTTAATATATACATGTACATATAGTTGCTATGATAGTTAGGGACTTTGACATCAGTCATAACTCTATTTCACTGGAACAAAGGTTACAAAGCAGCAATGACCAATCTTATTTCCTGAATGGCACCCGATACTCTTTAAAACTGACATTCCAGTTATTGACAGCATCCAAGGAATCCCTGACTTTTACTGTGAAATGCACCAATTTCTGCCATTACTGTGTATAATAATACACCAAATTACCACTTATCATCATACGTTTTTTAATCTGCTTTCCATAGCAAGGTGAGGCGGAGCTGGTCCACTGTCCAAAGCAAATGATAGATTCTAGAATCAGTAATACAAAGAAGCCAATTAAACTGCCTTACTAAATTTTACTAAGCTGCTCCAGACCAATTATAACCGTACTTCCTTGTGGTCTAATTAGGTTCATCTCAGTTCCACAGCGTGGTAGCCTATAATGAGTGAACACAGGAGAAACACAGTTCAGACTCCACGTGTGGGATAATTAATAAGCTGTAGGCTGATGCTGTGGAAGAGGCTGCACCTAATTACGTGGGTTAATGCACTTAAACTAAATGGATGAATTGCAGCCATTTTCAGTGTTTCAAGGCCCCTTAGATTGACAGAGCTGTGGATTAATAAATTTTTAGCGAGTCATCCATTGACCTGCCCCATCGTTCTTCACTTTCACTCTATATGCTCTCAGAAGCACGAAATGATAAAGTGGAGAAATGTGCCAATCACTGCCATTTCAATGTTGCTGTTTTCTCTGGCACTTGCCTAAGAAATGATCAGAATTGAACAGCAAAATACAATGCCTGACGTATCCCATAACTTCAGTTGACTTTGGATCAAAACGCAGCATGCACAGGAGGTAAGTGGTGCCTTCCTAGCACAAAACAGCTTAGATAAAAGACTGAACTCCTTTCAAATAGCTATGTCTGTCTAAAATTCAGGCATATAGGATACCCCTTTAGCCATTGAAAGAGTAAGTCATGCAGACTAGGCAAGTTAACTGAGTACAGAAGAAAAGGACAAGTCAGAAAAGAGACAATTAGGAAATATAGAACAGACGCTGCAAAATAATGATGAGATGGAAAGGGTGTATTGAGACAGATTATGATCCACCTTTACTGCTGGAAGTAAACCAGGGGGTTCAAGAACTGGTTTTATGTCCTACCTTATAGTGATTAAGACACAGAATACTCCTCAGGACTTCCTCCCTCTTAGCTCAAGCAGCCATCTTCCCAGCAATGCAGACTTCGGTATCCAGTAAAAGTCTTCACATGTATCATAAGTACAAGAAAGTACAGCACTATCAGTTTTCACACCTATATCCCTTTGCAGACCCAGCTTTGGTGAACAGTTCCCATTTGCAAGACCTCAGATTTGAGAAATTTCTCTGGCTCCTGAATGGCTTGTCTGTGTCAGCAAGAGACATGCCAAATATGTTTGTTTTCTCATGTTCACACTTGTCCTTAAGGCACAAGAGACAGAAACTGCTTCCTCTTCCACTTCTGAGTAAGGGGACCTGACAAGTAAAGAATTGAACCGGGTACTAAGCTCACTACCTTTCTGATGTGCCTCTTCTTAACGTATTTTGTTGGGATCTCTTTAACTTTCGTAGCACAGAATCACAGAATATTTAGGTTTGGAAAGGACCTTAGTACCATCTAGTTTATCCTAATGCCCATGAAAATAGGTTTTATTAAAATTTTCCCTGTCATATCCTGATCTTATATTAATCTTCTACCTCAATGTGGCTTGTAGGATCTGCCCAGATTGAACTGCTTGCTCTTGGAAAGCTTTGAGCTCTGTGTCTCTGCCTGTGCTACTGTAAAGAAGAAACAACTATGCTCGTATTCTCATCTAAACAGCTGTGTAATGGCATTGTTAGATAGACTTGCCATGAAGAAGGAGAAGACAAATGTGTCCATAAAGTGACTAAAGCAATAGAAAACATCTTCAGTTGCAGTTTAAACTGAAGTTGAAGTCAATATTGCAGTCAATGGCTGGTTGTCCAAATGGGGGTTCATATCAATCAATGACACAGATTGTATGATTCAGCATGCATTTACTGTTTTATAGCAACTTCATGAAATCATGTTGTTTAACAAATAGCATTTGCCATTATAACCAAGTTTATAATACACAACAGGGAGTAGTATGTCTACGTTGTCATGTGGGTATTTCATTCTTGCTCTAAGCTAGGCAGCCTCTATAGTTTCAGTAGAGAAATGCTCCACCTGGGTCATCGATGCCAAATGCATCTGCTGTGTCTGCTGGCTCACTGAAAGCTCCATCAGTCTGTCTCTGCACTGCATCATACTAATAAGGTAATCATTGAGCTTCTAATGAATGGGATTAGTGAATGGGCAAGGATTGTTTGGTCTGGATCCACTGTTCAAATACAGCTCGAAGCACTGAAATATTTGCTTGCAATCGCTACGAGCTGGGTTTGTTTCAGCTCTTACTAACTAGATGAAAATGGTTTTCATCACTATAGGATTTGCCAAAAGTGCTGACAAAGGCAGTCTGCGGGTTGGAGTAGATACGAGGAGGGAGTTCTATTTCAGAAGTGTACTGTGTAGTAAGGTAAATTGTAATTTCATGCCAGCACAAAGCTTGGTTAGAAAACAGAGTATCATTTCATTAATTAGGCTTTCTTAATAGCAACCAATAAATATATACATTACACACAATGATCCAGTTATGTTGATTTTATAGCATAGATCCAGAGAAAATCCACCAGAAACTCATTTTTTTTTTTGCTTCTTGATTTAAGAAGTTTTACAGTTTTGACTCTTTCAGCTTAAGTACCTGTAAGATTTCTCTGAGCATTTCCAGTGCTCAGCCTTTACTGACGAAAGATTGTGTCAGCTTTCTGGAAAGGAAGCATGTAATTCAAATTACTGGAGGTGAGAATCTAGTTTATATTTGTTACTCTTCTCTGAACCTTCACAGTAACCCAAAATCCATAACATATAGAGGTAGCTTTTTCTGGTGAGAAACATTTAAGTCAAAAGATGCAACTTTTCATAAAGAATAAAATACATATACTTTTGTCAAATTCTCTTTTACAATTTATACGATATGTAATTAAAACCATTTTAAAATGCTTTATTTGCTGGAAGGAAATGACATTTATAGTACACAACACATTTAAAGAAGGATTTAAATGGCATTTTTCCATCAGAATTTCAGCAGAAAATGGTGTGGGTGAAAACAGAACAAAATCCCAAATGCTTGTTGCATGGAAACCAATGAAACGAAATTTAATGCAAAACTTGACATTTTTCATGAGATGCCTTGCTTGATTTTTTAACAGGTTAAAGGTCTTCTCCTCTTAAAAACATGGTACAATATGTCTTAATGTTTGTTTGCCCTGCTCTTTCCCTAGTGTTTCTCATAAATAAATGTAGTGTTCTGTGCATACAATGGGCTCAAATAAACATCTAATTGATGCATTTGTAACTGGCACATATAATAGCGAAATTGCTTAGCTCAGCCTGGCAAAGCAAAGTGCACAGTAGGAGAATCTACGCTAGATTCTTTTTAAATGTACAAAAACAACAGCAACAAAAGAATCAGAATGTGCTGGCTTTCATGGTTTTAAATGAGCAGAAATGGAGATCAGGAGCATGTTAAAAACACAAACAATAAACATGATTTAACAGTTCTGTATCTTACTGAACACCGTATATTGAATCTGGAGGCAAAGAAATAGCATTCCCCAGATACACAGGGGACATAAATAAAGTCTGTAACATAAGGTAAAACATATCTGCAGTGAAAGGGTAAAAAATAAAGAGAAAAAATACAATTATACTAACACATAGTATAAAACTTAGCTTTTCTTTCATACAATTAGTGTGTGTTGGCTATAGCAGTTTTAGTATAATGTGGTCAGTAAAGCAGACATTGACGTAGGGTCTGAATCTAAAACGCCTTGAGAATCCATTCCACTTCACAGGGTGGTCACAGGCTCTGCAAAACCAAGAATAACTGATAAGTATTCATGGCATTCCCAAAGACATGCTGAGGTAAAGATGTTACTGATGGAAGAGTGGCTACCCGAGGTGGTCCCAAAACACATAGTCAACAATGAAGTAGATGTAATCACAGAAACGTGTATTTCACTGATTCCAGTTTAAGGTAATTGTGGAAGTGGAAGAGGTAAGAAGGCAGAAAGTAAAGATTTATAAAGAAAATACAATGTATAGCCTGATGTAGCAAGGAAAAGTGTATATTTTGTGTTTTTTTTTGCCAGTGTCAGCAGTTCCCATCCTAGAGGATGGTGTATTTAGCTTTAAAAATACCCTTTCTTGCAAAATGGACTAAATATAGAAGCCAGATTGCGACACTGATGCACCTTGCAGGGGAGAGTATTTCGAACAAATCTTAGTCTGGGTTTGATTTTTCCATGCAATGAAACCATAAGACACTTCCTCTTGCTAGGAAGGACTCACTATACCATGTGTAGATGTCTAAACCATAAAATCTTTACACTATTTATGTAGCCAGTTAATGGAAATAGACAATTCTGGACGAAAGTGCACATGTGTCTCCAATTACTGTACGAGAAGCCTCTTAGCAAAGACATCAACAAGAAGACAGCACCTCCAAGACAGACATCAGCACTAAAGTCTTCTGAGGTTAGACATACTGTATTCTTGCACTCACCATACCTTGAAGCAGGCCTGTGTGTAGTAAACATGGCTATGAAAAGCACAAGCAGGCTTTTGTAGTGTTTGTGTTTATTCTACATCTGCTTCCTTAGTGAGCACTGTTTGTATGTATATGCATTGTAAGCAAATCTAGTTAAAGTTGGTATCAAGGGAAAGGGATGGAAAAGTCGTCTGTTATTATTACTGAATCATAACTGAGAACAACTATTTTTATATACTGCAGATAAAAGCCTTAGAAACACTCTTTCTCTTAATTATGCTTTCCTCTAAACCAAGAAGGTGTCAAAATATACCAGTGATCAGACACCCCCTTCCTTCAAAGCAACAAAATACAAAGCCACACGTTGTTATTTATGCCACTTATTAAAATTGCTCATAATCGTATCAATTGGATAGTCTTTTGAAATCAGATGTCCATTGTCTGCTGCGCTGCACATACAGAGCACAGATTCCAGTTCCTGCCTTGCATTCACACAAACACCACAAAGAGCTATTAGAAACTCTTCAATGAGAAACGGTATCCTTCTGAAGATGACATTCATCTCAGCTAATTTAAGGTGTAAGTACTTTCATCTGAGTATAATGGCTCGCAGGCTCCAGGCTCCTATTACAGATCTAATCAATACAGTCAATAGATTTTTAGGGTGGGGGTCTTCTGAATAAATTCATCAACTTCAGAATGACCTAAATTTCACTGGCTTCTATTGACTGGCATTAACTACAAAGGGATCTTCAGGATGACTTTCTCAGATGCAGAAACGTACACTGCAGACACCAGAATTTAGCTGCACAAAGTCAGTAATAAGTCCCTTTAATATCAAAAAACTTCTTTGTTAGTTACTCAGACAAGTAGAAAGGCTCTGGAAAGTGGATGGACATAACTAATCCTAACTTTTCCATCCACTTGGGAACCATTCTTACTTTCCTGTTCACTAAGTATTTTATGATTTTTTTTTTTTTTTTAAACAGAAGAGGCTGCAAGTGGAGTGAAAACTACCCAAAAAGGAAAGAACACCTTCACTTTGTCCATACTAATGCTGGAACTGACACTCAAGGGATCATGGTGCACAGACTCAGGCTGAGTAAATAGACAGGTTTCCTGCTCACTTCGTCCCTTCTCAATTGAGTAAAGGGAGGGCAGGGATGGGTGACATTATAGTGGGGGTCTGCTACAGGCCACCTGACCAGGAAGACTGAGCGGACAGATAGGAGCATCCTCATGTTCACATGCCCTGGTCCTCATGGGAGACTTCAATCACCCTGGTATCTGTTGGAAGGACAACAGAGTAGGGTAACCCAAGTACCTGAAATGTGCTGACAAGAACTTCCTTTACCAAGTGATAGAGGAATCAATGAGGGGAGGTGCTATACTGGACCCTGTTATCACTAACAGAAGTGGCTGGTGGTGAATGTGAAGCTCAAGGGCAGCCTTGGCTGCAGTGACCATGAAATGGTGGAGGTTGTGATCCTTAGGGCAGTGAGGGCACGCAGCAATTTGAAGCTGCTGTACACTCTATACCAGTTTCAGATGTAAACTGGAAAGCAGCTTCCAAATACAACATAGCTGAAATCCTGCAACATCACCTCATTCACGATAGAGAACCAAAACTCATCCGCAAGGCTGATAGTGGAGAGAGCATCTTGTAACACGGGGATCTCACTTTTCTGTTTCTGAAAACCCTCAAGAGAATATTGAAGGGAAAGTGGGAAAACTCTGGATGTTTACATTTTTCTGCCTCTAGTCACTTGTAGTTGCTAATATTCTTTCCTCCTGACAGAGAACTGAGATAAGTGCAAAGTGTGGTAGTTCTGAGAGGTACAGGAACCTCTCGTATTTCCAGATGTGCGGTGGGTTGACCTTGGCTGGATGAGACCTTTGGATTCACCAAAGCTGCTCCATCACTCTCCTCAGCTGGGCAGGGGAAAGAAAATATAACCAAAGGCTCATGGGTTGAGATAAGGAGAGGGAGAGATCACTCACCAGTTATCATCATGGGAAAAACAGATTCAACTTGGGGAAACGAGTTTAATTAATTGCCAATCAAATTAGAGCAGGATAATGAGAAATAAAACCAAATCTTAAAAATACCTTCCCCCCACTTCTCCCTTCTTCCTGGGCTTATCTTTACTCCTGATTTCTCTACCTCTTGCCCCAGAGCAGCACAGGGGGACAGGGAACAGGGTTGCAGTCAGTTCATCACACATTGTCTCTGGTGCTCCTTCCTCCTCACACTCTCCCCCTGCTCCAGCATGGGCTCCTCTCTCCATACGGCCACAGGTCCAGTGAGGAGCCTGCTCCAGTGTGGGCTTCCCACAGGGACCCAGCCTCCTTTGAGCATCCCCTGATTTGGTGTGGGGCCCTCCATGGGCTGCAGAGGGGTATCTGGTCCCTTGTTAACCTCCATGGGCTGCAGGGGGGTATCTGCTCCCTTGTTAACCTCCATGGGCTGCAGGGGAGTATCTGCTCCCTTGTTAACCTCCATGGGCTGCAGGCGGGTATCTGGTCCCTTGTTAACTTCCATGGGCTGCAGGGGAGTATCTGCTCCATTTTGGACCTCCATGGCTACAGGGCACAACCTGTCTAACCATGGGCTGCACAATGGGCTGCAGAGGAATCTCTGCTCTGGTGCCTGAAGCACCTCCTCCCCTCCTTCTCCCCTGACTTGGATGTCTGCAGGATTTCATCTCATTCTCAATCCTCTCTCCATCTGCAATTGCTCCTGCAGAGTAGACTTTTCCCCTTCTTAGCTATGTTATCTCAGAGGCACTACCACCATCACTGATGGGCTTGGCCCTGACCAGCAGCAGGTCCATCTTGGAGCTGGCTGGCACTGGTTTCATTGGACACTGGGGAAGCTTCTAGCATCTTCTCAAGAAGCCACCACTGTAGCTCCTCACTACCAAAACCTTGCCATGCAAACCAAATGCATGTGGTACAAATAGTAGGCTTACGTGTTCAGGAACACACAGATACCAGCTTTGAGCATCAGCATCAAATTTACCTGTACATCAGTTAACCTTCCTCTGCAGCTGGTGTGCAAGTCCTGACTTCACTCCTATGAACTGAATCTCTTCCACCTGCAATGGTGGGGAATAATCTCTGAGGTCCATTGATCACCTTCATGGTTTAAACCTGGGACTGATGTAATTTTTACATACATTCTTAATGATGCATTTTCAGGATAGAAAAGAAAATAAAACACAAGGAAAAGAAGAACAAAGATCACAATACTAAGAAAATCTGTGGTGTTTCCTGCCTCTTAGAAGCTGGAGCTAGTCAGATACCAGATTAGTCAGAACTGAATTACATTGTGAACCTTCAAGACCTAAGGCTTTACCTGGGACTTTGTTCAATGAAATTTTGCTTTCAGTAAAGCCTGTTTTTTCATTAGTTAAAGTTATTCCTTTTCAAATAGTACTTCCCTCTAATCTTCTAGGGAAGTAAATAATACCCGCTTTTCACTATAGAAATGTTCGACATTCCTCTAGTGCTCAACTGCCCACAGCAGAAATGCTGATGCTCTTATTCAGTCACACTGTCCATTTCTGCTTATAGTGTAAATTTAACCACAGATTGTTAAAACAGGTAATAACCCAAGAGGTCTGTCAGAAAAGGGTCCTACACCTGGGTCGGAGCAATACCAGACACAGCTACAGGATGGGCAGAGAAGAGATTCAGAGCAGCCCTGCGGAGGACTTGGGGGTGTTGGTTGATGAGAAAATGAACATGAGCCGGCTTCAGAGTGCGCTTGCAGCCCAGAAAGCCAACCGTGTCCTGGGCTGCATCAAAAGGAGCGTGACCAGCAGGTCCAGGGAGGTGATCCTGCCCCTCTACTCTGCTCTTGTGAGACCTCACCTGGAGCATTGTGTGCAGTTCTGGTGTCCCCAACATAAAAAGGACATGGAACTGTTGGAACAAGTCCAGAGGAGGCCACGAGGATGATCAGGGGTCTGGAGCACCTCCTGTATGAAGACAGGCTGAGAAAGTTGGGGCTGTTCAGCCTGGAGAAGAGAAGGCTGCGTGGAGACCTCAGAGCAGCCTTCCAGTATCTGAAGGGGGCCTATAGGGATGCTGGGGAGGGACTCTTCATTAGAGACTTTAGTGACAGGACAAGGGTGTAATGGGTTAAAATTTAAACAGGGGAAGTTTAGGTTGGATATAAGGAGGAAATTCTCTCCTGTTAGGGTGGTGAGGCACTGGAATGGGTTGCCCAGGGAGGTTGTGAATGCTCCATCCCTGGCAGTGTTCAAGACCAGGTTGGACGAGGCCTTGGGTGATATGATTTAGCATAAGGTGTC